ATCTGAGTGTAGGTGGCGAAGAGTCGGAAGGGGACTGGGCCGGCCTGACTCACGTGGAGGTGATGGTGCGGAAGCGTTCCTGCCCGGCCGTGTCCCAGATCTGCAGCTTCACTTTCTCCCCATTGATCTCCACAGTCCGAATCTTGAAATCCACTCCGATTGTGGTGATGTAGCTGCCTGCACACACACGCACATTAGCAAGGCCCACAGGGTGCCCGTCAGACGTGTCTTCACCTGCACGGGTGACTCTGGCCTCCGCAATCCCTCCCTACTCACTCTTTGTGCCCAGCACTTTTGCGGCCCCAGGGACACAGCCCTGAACAAGAAGAAATTCAAGGTCTGGGGGTGCCTGGGTGGCTCAGTCAATTAAGCATCCGACTAGATTTCAGCTCAGGTCATGATCTTACGGTTGGTGAGATCAAGCCCTGTGTCAGGCTCTGGGCAGACAGCACAGAGTCAGCTTGGGATTCTCTCTCTGCCCCTTCCCTGCTTGCCCTCTCTCTCAAAATAAATTAATAAACTTAAAAAAAAAACAAACAAAAAAACACCAAGGTCCACACCCAGATGGAGCCCTCAGTGGAGGTGAGGGCAAGAGACAGGATACAATAAAACAAAGTGATAAAGAAGGCAATTTCAACAGTGATGAGCACCACAAAGGAAGTAAAACCGGGAGGAGACAGGAGGAGACAGGCTCCTTTCGTTAGAGGGGCTGGCGCGGACATGTTAGCAGTGGCCTGAGAGTGGAGGGGCACCCAGGACACACTCCGGGTTTTTTTTCTGTGCCGCTCCAAATGCTGTAAATGACCCACAACACTGACTTCCTAACACACAAGTCATGACCTGTGTTTTGGAAAACACTGCTCTAGGCAAAGGAGATAATCACAAAAATAGCAACAGCAAGGGGGGAGAGGGTGTCACATGAGGTCAAGCACGTGGTGGGAAGCAGGTAGGGGGACGCGAGGCCAGATCTCAGGGCTTTTGTGCCATTTTCGCAAGCTTGGACTTTCTCTTGTGTGTGGCAGGGAGGCACTGAAGGGTTTGAATCAGAGCATGAACCACATTGTAAATAGTTCTCTTTGGGCATCTGTGTGAAAGACTGAGTTGAAGAAAAAATCTAGCCAACGTCACATTCCCATCCAGGATGATGAAGAGCACACATTCACACTCCGCTTGGGGCTTCCTGTGTAATGCAGTGCTGCAGTCAAGACACACACACACACACACCTGACAATATGGGGTGTGACAAGTGTATAGGAGGGGTCAAAGTGCAGGGTGGGGTAGAAATCAAGGAAGGCTTTGGAGAGGTAGTCACACTTAGGCCTGGCTTGAAACAACAGGTACAATTTCCAAGGTTGAGAGAAGCTGCGGGGGGAGTTACGGGGGGGGGGGGG